CAGCTCTGCTTACAGTTTACACCCTGCAGGACCGTTCAATACAGCAGAAACATGTCTGTGTGCGCGCTCACATACACACCTGTGTGTGTTCACATACACACCTGTGTGTGTTCACATACACACCTGTGTGTGTTCACATACACACCTGTGTGTGCAGACACAGCACGCAGATTTTCCCGGTGTTGATGACCTGTCTCACCGAGTCCGTACTCGTCCCGTACAGATTCTTCTCGAACTCTCCGGACTCGATCAGCTTCCCTGAAACACAAAAACAACTCATTTCACACCAACAGGAGGTTAAAGACCTCCAGACACCCTGAGCCTCACAGGCTGCAGTTTAAATAAAGCACTGACTCCACCTTGTGGTACAAACTGGTATTACATCAGAGCGCCATTTTTCTGCCTCAGCATGTTTGGGACACGCTCGTCACCCTGCTCTCCTCTGATGCAGCTGCACTTCAGGACGTTTAAACACTTCTAACTTTAAATCGAGCAATATTCTCAGATTTAAACGTCTCACCAGCCGCCAGCTCAGCCTCGAAGGTCTGCCGAGAAACAAAGTGATAGTCCCGACCGCTCTGCTCGCCCTCGCGACGGCTCCGCGTCGTGTCTACGACACACACACACACACAGTTAGTTTACGCGTGCACACACGCGCACACACACACACACATCCTTACGAGGCACAGCTCCAGCGAAGCGCTCTGGTTCACTGTTGAGCAGCCGCTGCCTGAGCTGTTCCTGCCCACAGCCACTCGGACCAATCAGAGCAATCGGCCGCTTCCTATTGGCCGGCTGGTGGTACAGCGCCATCTCCTCATAGGTGAGAATTTCTTCATTATCGAGATCTGGAGCAAAAGACAAGAAAAAGAGACATCTGGAGTTTGAGTGAGGGTAGAGCAGGAGCTGAGGCTCCGCCTCCTCGCTGCCTGTCAGAGTTCCGGGACAGACTGACGCACCGTCGTTCCTGTGAGGGTTGTACAGCAGCTTCTTCCTCTTCCTCTTGTTCTTCTTCCCACACCAGAGCTTCCCTGCAAACAGACACCACTTCAGTGCACGAGTCACATGACCTCTAACCCCACACGGGTTTTTACAGCAATGAGGTCATAACGTGGGCGGAGCAGGGACCAACCGGACTTCTCGGGCTCGTCTTCTTCTATGGTTTGCTTCATGGCTTCTCTCTGCTGCTGGAAACTCTTCCCTGTGGAGACAGAAGCAGAGAGCTGCACAGCTGACACCAGAACAAACCGAGTTTTCCTCCAAACACGGACGCGTCCCGATGTTGAACAGCTGACCTCAGGGAAAACACGATCACGCCAAACACGAGGAACCGTTTCAGTCCAACGTATGAAAACAAACAGAGGTGAGCCCACACTCGCGTAAGCGCAGCATGTCTCCCTTTGCAGGAGTTCTGGGCACGCTCAAATGGGGGAGACCCCAGGATCTGACATCATCTGGCCAGGATCATCCAGGAACAACTGGAAAAGCACGTCAGCTGCAATTCTGCTGATGCCACGGGCAACCGGAAATAAAGGCGGAGCTTACTGACGCCCTCTGAGGGCAGCTGGACCTTAGGACTGAGGGGGGTAAGAAGGTGGCACTGCACACGAGGAGAAATGTCATTTCCTGTTTGGTGTGGAGCAGAGGAAAGCCACGAGTAACCGTCCCAATGGTCACGTGATCACAGTGGTCACGGAGGTCAAAGGTTGCTGCTAATCTGCTTTCTGTTATCCAAATCAAACGCTCTGAGCGCGCTCACACCGTGCAGCATTCTTCAAACCCTTAAGATAAAAAACCTCCGGCCGTCAGACCGCCGTACCTGGCACCAGGCCGGCGAGCGGCTGGTTATCCTCGTCTCCGTCCCGGTACGCCTGCCACCAGTTGGGGTCGGACTGGCTGATGATGTGCAGGATATCTCCCTTCTGGAAGGACAAGCCGAGCTCTCTGCACGGCACGTAGGGGTCGTCCGAGGGGTCGTAGTCGAAATGAGCCTTCACGTGGACCTGAGGAGCGGAGCAGAGTCATGGGGTCAGAGGAAGGCTTCCACCCTCATCGCTTCAGCGCGTCGGGAACGAGGCGTTCCTCTCATATCGCAGCACTCACCACACTCTCTTTGACGGGAGGAGGTTTGCTCTGATTGCTAGGAATCAGCACGAAGGTCAGGAGGCCGTGCATGTCGGCCTGTTTAGACACAAAGACAAAATCATCTCCAACCACTGACGTGAAAGCGCCTGAGCTCACAGACGACGCTCAGCCAGAGTCCAACCTGCGCTCGTACGTGAAACACTGACCAGGATGTCAAACACCTGGTTGACGTCTTTGCCTCGGATCTCGATGCCGTTAATCTCCAGGATTTCGTCTCCTTCAGACAGAAGCCCGCTTCGTTCAGCGGCGCCCCCGCGAACGATCCGACTGATCACCACGCTGTCCATTTCATTCCGCACCGTCGCCCCCTGCAGAGCAAACCATGCATTTCATCACAGCCACGGAGTCCTGGCATCAAACACCAGGATGTTGTTGTCGCTTTGAACAGAGCTCGACTGTTTCCCAGCCCTCAGATTTCACATGTAATTAAAATGGGTCAAATCTGGACTCAAA